GTTGTACTCCACACGGATGCCAGATAATTGTTGAAAGCCGCCGTTGGAGTCTTTGTTCCGAACTGACGCTGAGTGCTCCAAGGCATTGAGCAGAGTCTTTCCGCTAATGCGTGTTACAAGCAGACGGTTTTCAAAGGGAATCGTATCAGCCATGTCTCTAAAAGTTATAGAGCCATCAGCAATCTTTTTGATGGAAGTGCGTATGCCTGAAATATGTAGGATTTTGTAATAGGAGAACCATCATTGATTTATCTACTACGTAGTACATACCACCACCCGCAATCAGAGCAATGGCTGCGTCAGTCCAATACTCGCCGCCCTTGTTTTCCAACATTCGAGAGTAGACCATAGAATCAGCAATCAAGTTACCCAGATTACATTCTCGCAAGCGACAGATACTACCTCCCTCAAGATGTACCTTAGTGTGACCTATAACTTGCTTTCCTTTGGCCGTAATATTTGGACGAAAAGTATCCAGTAAATCCAGCATATCTTGCTCCTGCGGAACTGAGGCATTCAAAAGAATTGGCTCACCAGCGAATTGAATTAAGTTTCCAAACGCATCGAACTGTGCTCAAAATCTCTGTTTAGTATAAGTAAGTCAAATGAAACTTTAGTTATTACCTTAACTTGCAACTTGCCCAAATACTTCGTGTTGGTGTAGGCCTGAACCACAGGCACTTTCTTTCCACTCTTCTGAACCACTGTAGTGGGATAGGGTCCTCGCACTGCTTCAGGATTGGCATCGTTCTTGTCTGCAACAGGTTGATTGGCATCTAAATAGGTATGCGAGTGACCACCAATGACTATATCAACATCGGGACAGTCTCTGGCAATATCCTGATCCTTTTGGTATCCTGAGTGACCCAAAGCAATGATAATGTTAATCCCCTGTGCCTTTAGTTTTGCAGCCTCAGCACTTGAAATGAATCAGTGAAAATAGTTAAAAGCGACAACTGGTGTATCCTCACTTTATGGATGTGATTTCCTCATTGAATTCTACTTTGTTGATGTAGTCCTGCTTTGTTTTTGGCGTCAGATAACCTATTACGCCAATTTTAGTCCCGTTAATCTCTAGAACTGTCGAGTTGCTCAATTTATTAGTGGTAGCCAGGTCGGGCTCCTTTGAATACTCCAAATTCGACACAACAACTGGAGAGTCTACAGCATTCAGAAATGAGACAAGGCCTTCGATATCCTCATCAAATTCGTGATTTCCAAGACACTAAACACGGCAATTGTTATTGAACGGAGATTATTGTGGTAGTCAGTTAACCTACCAGCACATCCGGTTGAAGTTTGTTGAGAAAAGTGCTAGCAATTTTATCCTTGAAGATCGTGAACCAAAGAGTTCCGGTAAATGTATCACCTGCATTTAAGTATAATACGGGAGTACCGCCATTCTTTGCCTCCTCGCGATATTTTCGCACTCTGAAAAAATATATAAATTTGTAGATATACAAATATAGCAGAAGTATGCAGCCAACCTTACACATGTGCTACCCTTGCGACGCCACCGAAGCATTTATTCATATTGGCATCTTCCTGAGTGCATACTGCGCCATATTTATTCGTCTGCTCGAATCTTGCGTGAATATCATTATTGTGGAGTATAGTGAACTCAGTAACTTGATTGATTGAGTTTTCAATGGGATTCGCGCGAATCAATGCAGCAAATACCATGCAAAATTCGAAGATACACAATAGCCTCATTTTGAAACTGAAATGAAAAATCTCAAGCTTTAGCTCGTTTATACAATTCTACCTCAGTAACGTCTCAATTTTGCTACGGCAGTCAAGGTGATCTCAAATAGACTTTACAGATGTTTCCTCTCGTGGATACAAGATAAGGTTGATCCAATTTTAACCCTTTTACGATTACACTTTATATCTAAATCACATTTACAATGAGTTCAGCTTGCAAATAATTAAAATAAATTTAGCAAGAAAGTCCCCCTAGAGTCATTGTCACTTCTCAGTCAGAATATATGAGAATCTGAACAAGATCACACAACAATTAACTATAATTAAAACAAAAAGAGTGCTACGTACACTCTCACTCTTGCTCACTCTAATGCTTGCAATATTTGTAGGCTAGAGTAGACTTTTAATACAACGACGTTTCAAAGACGTTTCGATGCACTCGTCCCTCGATCTGCCAGTAAACTAAAATCAAATTGTTAGAAAACATCTTTTAAATCTGTTTCAATCTCTTGCTGTCTCTCTCTCTCTTTCTTTTGCTAAACAGGTACCTCGGGCGATAAGTTTGCTCTATTTGTTGCAAAGAGCATGATCTGATAATGCCAATTGCTCAATGTACGGAAGCTTAAGTCTACCTCTCAACACTTCCATTTAATTTGAATAATCACCAATTCACATATTGCAGTTAAATGTGAATTCTCAGAATTAATTAATAATTATATTTCATATATAAATGATAAAACTATATCATATAATAAATATTGATATTTTCAAATACATAATATACAACTTATTCTATAATCCAAAATTATCAAAATTACAATAAATTTATTGCATAATGTAATTAAATTAAATATTATGCCATATATTCAATATATATTTCAATCTGTACTTTACTATGTCCCTGTATTAAACTATCATACATACGATCTAATCATAAATTTAGTTGCTCCTAATAAAAAACTTTTGTGTTGTGCATACATATATGTATTTGCTATTCTAATATTGTTTGCTATGAAATACACTGAAAAAATATGTAAATTTAGATTTTACCAAAAATATTTTTCCTCATAATGTACCTATGTTTTTGAAGATATTCATAATTTTGAGATTGATAATTCAAATAAAATAAAATAAACAAAGTTAATAAAATATAAATAAAATAAAATATTTTTCCTCATAATGTACCTATGTTTTTAAGACATTCATAATTTTGAGATTGATAATTCAAATAAAATAAACAAAGTTAATAAAACAGAAAAATTATTAATTAATTTAAATATTAATTGAGATAGTCTTAGTATAAGAAAAATTATATCCTATTGATGAGATCTTATATAATGCGTTTAGTAATATAGAGTTGCATAAGTATTTTAATATTATGTGAATCTAGATTTGCAGTGTATTTATAGGGTGTGCACTTATCATTACAATGACAGGTCAAAGCGCAGTCTGTAGCCATCGAAATCGAATCGAAGAGATGGCTGTGAAGCGTGCCAGCTGCAAATGCTTGGTATGGCTAGCAACGACATGTCGAATGCGCTACGCTGCGCAACGGGGAAAGGGAGTAGAGTAGACGAAAGTGAGGATGACCGACTCAGAGGTACGGCCACGAGACAACAGAAATACTGGGCGAGGGTGAGCGGGAACTGGACGAGATAGCAGGCCGCTGCAGTTAGAGAGCAGATTGTCAGGGGTTGCTTTCGATTGCAGCGCACATATCCTGCCTATATCCTGTTGCCTTCCCGCTCCAGCTGCCGGCAGCGGCCGACAAATTTAAACAGCTGCAACAATTTTTCGGTTGCCTTTAATTTCCAGCCTGGGCACATCCCTTAATGCCCGCCTGTCTCTTATTGCTGGTTGGGGTTGCTTTCAGGATCGCGCTCCCTGCAACAGCTCGGCTGGGGTGCATTCGACGCTCGATGCTCAGTTGTTGTGATCGCCAGGTGAACGAAGGTTGTGCCGCGGAGCAAAACGAACTACAGTATATATTCGGAACACGACGAAAACTGAAGAAGAGGATCTCCTATGTCTGGAAAATTGATTATGAAACGCAAACGAGCAGATCAGCTTAGGACTCAGCAAGCGGACCAGCAGCATCAGCAAGATGTGGACACTGAGTCAACTGCCGAGAAACGCCATCGCTTGGAACTGGATTCCAGATCTAATACACCGCCAGCGCAGCAATCACATAGTCCTGCTATCCATGCTGGCGATGCGCCCAATAGCATTTTGCTTGAGGCACTGCAAAAGATCATGGAGTTGCAGTCAGAGCTAGATTCATTTGAACATGATTTGGATGAGCGTGAGGCCGGTGCGTTTGATAGCGATGAGGAAGTGCAAGCAGATGCCGAAGTGGCAGCCAACTTTCCAGCTCAACCCGCAGTCCCAAATCGACGCAGTGAAGCCGAAGCATTGGGCTTCGCCATGTGCGCACGCGAAACGTTGCTATTCCTGCAAAGCGAGGGCATCTCCACGGAGTCCGTGCTGTACAAGGCGCTGCTCGGAAAGCTGGTAGGCCAGAGCGATGGACTGTTGCATGCCTAAGCAGAGGAGCACTAACAAGTCCCAATTTGGGACATTCTAGTCAATTTACTGCAATTATATTGTACGTAAAACGAATATTGCAGAAGGATTTGGGACCTCAGCATACGTTAAGAGTTCCACCACTTTTTACAAATTCTAGTTTTAAATCAATTTACTCTAGTCGGTTATTGTGCAGCAATATAAAAACTACTTTAAGTTTATTGAATAAATTATAAAAAATAAATATACACTTTAACAATGAATATATAGAGTCCTCGATTCCCTCGATTCTGTTGAGATCAAAAATTAATTACAATTTTTCATAGAGAACTTTTCGATGGGTATTTGTCACTTCTGGTTTGTGTCTTTGCTAAATAAGGTGATATAATCAGCAGCTTATGACAGTGCGCAAATTTCGAATACGTTTGTCAAATTGACAAAACAAAATAAAAAAACATGTTTCGTATATTTTTCTTATCCTTTTAAATAATGCGTACACAAAAAGTTTTCAGCATACATTTTAAATATTTTTATTATTATTTTCATTATTTTATTGTACATGAAATAATTAATGAGAATAACTCAATATTTGTTTGTCTTCATAGTTTTATTGTTTAATCTTTATAGGGCGGGGAAGTTTTTATTTAGTATTGAATATTATTGTTTGTATTGTAAATTGTATTTTAACTTGCCATTCAATTTAAGTATCTTTTACATATATAAACATATATATATATATTATTAAAGTTCAGTATTAAGGTTTTTGGAACCGATTTAAGTATGTTTTGTTTATTATTTCTATAATAACAATAATTACTTGAAATAAATGTATGTATCTTTTTTTACTGATATTGTTTTACAAACTAGATTTTAATTGTTTTTAACAATTTAACGTTCACATGGTTATAAGTAAATATTTTTCTTGCTTTTTTTTTTTGGACAAGATATAATTATCTGATTTCGTTATGAATACACATCACTAACAATAGGTTAGAGTTTTTTTATATATTTGCATCAATTAGCTCAGCTTACAAGTCATACAAAATAATAGTAATAATAGAAAATCATTTAGAGGGGCAATCAAAAGTATTCATTTGATTAGTCCGACTTTGTCTATCGAGCTGGAAGATTGTGTTTCAGAAAATATTATTGCTCCATTGATTACATTTTGGCACAAACTGTCTTTCATTTTATAATTTCAAACTCTATTTTAATTTTGGCATGTGCTGTATATCTTTTCGGGAAACATTTTTGCTTTTCATCACACAATTTTTAGGCAATATGCAATAAATTATTTTACGCGAGCTTACTAAAGTAGAAAATACAATTGGGAATTATGTTTTTGAGCTTTTTGACTTCGCACACAATAAGTTATGTAAATTCAATGAGTATTATTTTTCTTTTTTAATAGTTTTGTTTGTTGTTTCAATAAAGTAATCATTTGCAGCATTATCCACATATGGGCTTCGTCTCACAATTTCTGAATAATATAAATACGTATTGTATATTAAGTTATCGAGTATTTAATCATATTAATATTTTATAAATATATTTTTAGTTTTACTTTTATTTTTATGTTGTCAATCATTTGTTCGATTTAGTTATTCGAATGTAAATATTGAATTCTGTATTTGTATATATAGTTATATTTAATTTATTTTAAGTGTGCCCAGTTATATAGTTTTAAGTAATTAATCTCATAGATTTCCAGCCCTACTGCTCCACTGCACAATCACACCTACATATATATCTTTAAATATATATATGTCCGATCTTCAGCGTAGAAATGTTAACAAGCAAAATAATCTGTGGGATTATTGAAAGTTGTAAAAATCATTGATTTATATAAGTATTCGAATTGATTTGATATTTCATAACTGAATTTTTGTAGTTTTAGGTTAGGTTAGTTTTTAGAAAATGTGTTTTCAATTCTGAAGATCGAGCATAATATACAGAAATATATATGTACGTACGTATTCGAGAAATGTTTACAGTTTGTTGTTTAAGCCGATTTATAATATTTATAATAAATATATGTATATTAGTATTTTGTATTATGTATATAAGTTAAAGTATCATAGCCAGCTTTAAGCTGTACCTTTCTAATTATTTAACGGTTATATCTCTTGATAATTTGTTATTTATGCACGCACTTTTATTACGAATATCTTAAAGATGTTTTGCTCTTCGTGTAAATATAGATTAAAAAACCGGACAATATATCCTTGGCATAAATTGTCTGTCGTTCATCGTCCATCAGCCAACACAAGGTTAAAATATCAATTTGTTGATCCAGCTGTATTATCATCCAACAGTTTCCTTGCACTCAAAAAAATATATATATTACATATATATTATGTTAATTATTTTAATGTATATATTGTATATGTTTGTATCTAGTATATACACGTATGTATATATAAGTATATATTAGAGGTTTCGTTTGTAAATATTCTTTCCATTTAGTGTACAAAGTATTTGTGATGTTGCTCTCGATTTGTTGTGGTTGCTTGTTTGTTGTTGTTATTGTTTAACTGTATTTTGTTATTGTATCTGTTTAGTTTTCAATGTGGTTTAGAGAAACTGCACTGGCAAGAACGGAATCTCACGAATATGAAGCGAAGGAATGGAAGGGCTGTAAGAGAATGCAAGTATTAAGAGTATTTAGAGAAATGTCAATTGTGTTCGTGGATTGTGTATTAAGTCAGCAGCGCCTATTTGTGAATGCAAACAAATAGTTTATCATGATAATAAATATTGATATATAATTAAGTATATATGATCATTCATATGCATTGGATATGTATATTTCAACAAGCAGGCATTATTATGAACTCTGTCTACGTATTTACATCTCAAATAGTTGCTGTGACATGCGCTTTGGCTGTGCAAGGAATAATGAAGGAATACTGTACTGGACTGAACAAGGGATGGTTGTAATATCCATTTGATTAATTGTGCTCTGAACTGCTTTTTGTTTTATTTTGTTTTGTTTAATACCTTACTAATAGCATACTGGACGCAGTTAAAGTTGTTGTGTTGTTTTGGGTATGTTGCATGTTGTTCTTGTTTTTGCTGCCTAATGTGTGAATGTTGTGGCTGTTGTTGTTGTTCTGGCTGCTGTGGATGGTGCGTTTGCCGGCAACTGAAGCACTCATTTGGCCATACATCACATTCGTAGATAAAGAAACTGATTTAATTTTCACATCGTTGGAATTGATTTTATTATTCCTATTTAAATGATTGTTGTTGTTGTTGTTTTGGTTGTAACTGTTGTGCGGTGGGTAATTTTGTTGTGAATGTTGTTGCTGTTGTTCATGTTGCACTGTCAACAATTGTTGTGGAGTATGTTGTTGTGTCTGTTGTTGCTGCTTCTGCTTCTGTATTATAAAATACTCATTATTAATATCAGAATACATCAATTCAAAGTTATTGCAATATGCCTCGTCTCTAGCTGTTACCTTGTGGCTGCCCGTGCTGTTGCTCTTTTTGTTGTTGGATTCCTTTTGGTTGTTGCTGCACTCCACTTGCACAAAGCTGCTGTTGCGTTTGTTGTTGTTGTGGTTCCTGTTGCTACTGTTGTTAATGAATCGGGTCATATAGTGGGTTTTCGGTATAGGACTTGTCACACTCCTTATGCTTCTCACACCATCTCCATTGCTCGCGTTTCTCGAACCCAACAAATTTCACCTGTTAACATGACTGCGGTTGTGGTTCGAATTTATACCTGTTGCATTGTTTGGATTTGATGACGCTACTGAGCCGCTAGCTGCAAAGTATACATAATTAGTACATTACACCTATTGTATGTATAATGGGATCACTATGGATAACCCAAATAGTTCAATTGCTCAAACTACACATAAAACAAAAAACTCATCTTATTCAACTGGACTAGACAAATAATATTCTATTACACTTAAAAGAACTATTATTACTTAAAAGAACTATAATAACTGCTCTTGACTGATGAAAAGTTTAGCCATAACTTTCGAATATACAATAGCTCGTATTTCTATTCTCTAATATTGCCTATGTAAAACCGTCTCATGTGTACCTGCGTATCCAGGTGAATGCTGGTAGTAATCCCTTCGTGAGTAATCCGTTTCATAATCTTGAGTTTCATAGTGACCGCCACGAGTTCCTCCACTGACGCCGCTGATATTGCCAACGCCGCCCAATATGTTGTTGGGCGGTCCGTGAGGCCCATGAGCGTGTCCACCGTGCGATGCATAGCTGTAGGCGTCGTAGGATTGATGCGGATCATAGGAAATGCCGTCGTCATAGCCCCGTCTACAAAATACCCAAATCAGAATTATAAGTAATTGGTAACTAAAATTTTTCATTTCCAGCTCACCCGTAAGTTTCATCCATTGCTGTTCTGGCCTTCTCTAGGATGGACATGACCTTCTGCTTAGGTGCCAAGACATTTTTGCTAAACGACGCTTGCTGCGAGCTTCTGCTTATTGAAAGAAAATCGAGTTAGGCTAATCATTAATCTCCAATGGAACCATAAAATTTACCTGTAGTTGTGATGAGCCGAATTTTTTGACATACTGGAACCACCACCACCGCTACCACTTGAATTTACCAGACCCTGACCCCCCATGGCATTAGCGCCAATGCCGGCGTTCTGCATATGCGTCATTTTTTTGTAGTTACTCTTGGAATTGGAGTCGTTATCATTTAGGCTTGTGCTGTCCATCAGCTCACGCAGTTGCTCCTGCCGTATAATATCGTTGCTATCCGGTATCAGATATTTGCGCAGCTCGGCCATGGCATACGCGATGCGCGCATATGCCTCTGCGGGTGGCGCAATCGTTGATATCTCCACGTGCAGGTCGCTGTTGAGGTGAGCATACTTGGGATCCTTTGAGCTGCGTAGCTCCTCTTCCTTGGCACGATCCCTCATCGAGTTGCGACCAAGCACCGTCATCTTGCACAGCGTTTCCTCCTGCAGGCGACGCAATGAGTTACCCTTGGGGCCAAGCAGCTTGCCCACAAAGTTGAACTGCAAGAAAAGAGATTGGAGTATTAACATTTGTATATAATAGATGGATATATCAAATATTTAAGTGATATTTGAATAATCTTATAGATTAATTCAATTACTATAATATATTTAGTAACGATTGTAGCTTTCCACCCATTTAAAATATATATTATCTAAATGAACCACCTAGCCAACTGAATGAAATCTCAAGCAACAGAGTATCTTATATATAGTTAGATTACATAGAACTGGCTACAATAGATGTCTAGCAATGAGTCACCTTCGGATGCTCGCGTATGGGCACCAACACCCGCTGCGATATGCGCAGAGGTTTCTCTCGATATATGTCTGCATACTTCTGCTCCCGCGACGGAATGCGTCCAGTTGTCTGCACCTTTTCAATCTCTGCAAAACACCAAATTTCACTATCTGCCACATAAATTAAATTTAAGAAACACGCTTACCGCCTTCCAAAAGCTTCTCGGCAATGGGAAACTTGCGATCCATGCGATTCTTCTCGGCCATGCAATCGCGTATGTACTCGCTGGCCTTTTCGTTCAGCTGCACATTGCCGCTACCCTCGGGGCCGCCATGATCGCGATCGCGATGATCGTGGACGTTGCTGTCGCCATTGTGGGCGCCGCCGCTGCTGCCTATGCTCTTGCGTGGCTTTCCACCACCACTTCCGCCAACGTACTCATTGCTATCGTCCTCATTATATGCGGAATAGTCGCCGTTGCTGTCGTACTTTTCGGTCATGTTTATGGGTCAATCAGGTGGCAAGTCAGCGTTTGATTTGGCTAATGGATATTCAATGACCCTCACGGCAGCTACAATAATCAATCAATTAATTGTTAAGTGTAAGTATATGCATGGATATATACATATATACATATATATATTTATATATATGTATGTATTTATATTTCAACCCTTTGACAAAGTCTCACTTAAATCAGTTTTCATAAACGCATTCAAATTCAAATGCAGCAACTTCTCCTCCCCACCTACCCCCTGATACACACACTCACACTCAAACACACATACGCATACAGCAAAGCAAAAACAACCACCGTGCGAAATTCAAAGTCAATTTGTTGCGGAAAGACAGGAGAGACCGGTAAAAAACCCACATTAAAACAATTTTATTTCAATTGCCGCTTTAGTTATACACGATTTCTGATCTTTGCCAGCTTGTTGGCCACTTTTTGCCACTCTCTGGCTTGTTCAACCGTCCGTCCGTTCCTCGTCTTGCTGTCTGTCTTGCTGCTGCACTTTCACTTTTCAGTGGGACGCAGTTGTTTCCAACTACGTACACATACATTTATTGCATTTTCTTGAAATTTTAGCCAAGACGGTTGAGATCTTTAGATCACTTTTTCTACAACGCTTCACTTTATTGTTTTTAGTATGCGAATTTCACGTATTTTACATCTATTTTTTAAACGTTTTTGCACGGAGTATGTTTTTTTATGCAATGGCTGGCAATAAAGTTTTGGTTTTCGCGAGGGCTGCAGATTCGCGAAAACAATGCACAGCAAAAGAGAGCTGCAGCCAAGTTAGCTTTCATTCGAAATTCGAAAATCAGCTGAGCGAGAGTTTTAAAGGTTGATGTCTAAACTAATAGAATTGAATCCACACTTAACGAAACGCAACAGTGCCTTCGCTTTGCCATGGTATTTTTGGTAATTTTTTATTATTGGCTCCCAGTCACACTAATAAGTGCTTTGTCTTTGCGAAATATTCATTTCATTTGTTTTTTATTTCATTTAATTTAATAATTCCAATTAATGACCAGTATTTAAGGAATGACCAATTGACAAGATGCCCAACGCCACAACTAACAATGGCAACGCCAACTCCTGCGTCGAGACGCCCACGGCGCCGGAATGGCTGTCCAAGCTGGAAAGCCGACGCGAATTGTTGAAACGTTCGAAACTTGGCCACGAGTCAGGAGCCGGCGCTCCTTGTGGCGAGTGCCTGGACAAGTGTCCTGGGCTGGATCTGCACTTCTGGCGCAAGGTCTGTCGTAACTGCATGTGCCGGAAGGACCAGCACATGTGCACGGACGATGATGCCACAGGCTGGGCGCAGTTCGAGATTCTGGGCCAGATACGAGCCAAGCCAGCCTGTTAGTACAATCCCTGATATTTGTATAGACGTATAGATCTATATTTGTGTATCCTTCTCTCACAGACATCAAGATTAAGGCCCTGGCCAGCCAGCCCGTCCAGGTGGAATGGGTACCACCAAATGCCGCGCCGGACGTGATTTCGGATTATATGGAGAAACTGGGCGCAGCTCAAATTCCTGTTGCTGGCAGCGACGCCGCCCACAAACGCAAGCAGCAGCTGGAGTTCCAAGTGCCGCCACATGATCTGGACGCCGCGCTCTGCGACAATCTCACAGAGACCGAGGCCCAGCAGCTGCAGCAGTACGTCCAGAAGCTGCGCGACCAATGCGTGGGTCAGGGCATCGTTGTGCGAGTAGGCCGTCTTACCCATGCTCAAGTGGAGCACATTGTACCGCCCCAGCTGCCAGCTGCACCACCGCCAGCCGTGCCCGAAGCCGCCCGCAAAGTGTTCCACTCTTTGGGAATAGCGCCGGTTGCGGATGCCACTCTGAACGAACTGTTAGCCAATCCAAAGCTGGCCAATGCCCTATCCCTGCAAGGAGCACATCCCCAACCCAAGCTGCTGGTGGCTTTCTCGGAGCCCTTGAGCGATTCTACCACCGAATTCGATGCACATCCCGCATTGAGAGCCGAAACCAAGATAAAACTGTTGGGCATCAGCAAGCCCTCCATGCAGAGCCTCGTCACGCATGGCGTCATCTACGACAAGCTATTGGGATCGTTGAAGGTAAGACTGGCACTAGCCAAGCTTTCCATTTCCATTATGCATATTTATATTCTTATTGGAGTATATGTGGATTAGATATTTGTCATACAATACAGGTTGCTCGTGTAATAGCAGGTAGTTATTGTCTTGTGCAAATTGCAATTTATAAGCATTAGTTATTTCATTATGGTGTATTATCTGTTAGGTGAATTTAATGTGTATATGTTTGGAGAATTTGTTCTGTGGTGTTTTGAAGACGATGTTTCTACTAAGGTGTATATAATTTTTGGTGAATTTGACGTCTCCAATTTACTTGAGTCAATTTCTATTCCACGTTTTAAATTATGGTGACTTTGAAGTCTCCACTTTACTTTGGTGAATTTTCATATATTTGTTTCTTTACCTCAACTAATTTTCACCAAAACTAAAATGTATATCCCATAAATTCAACGAAAATAAAATGGCACGCTCAACAAACTAATTATAATGGCTTTAATAAGTAACGGATGCAGCATTAGTGCAATCATTTTTTATTGATCAATCAATATACTTCCACTTGCAGGAAAAGAACCTTAACATTTCACGGGATGCTCGCCTTGGGCCCATCTCTGAGTTCCGCAAGGAGTATGTGAGTAATCCGCAGTTCAGAGCTGAGATCAATACGGTGTGTCCTGCGCCTGTTATGGCCACAACACCACTCAAATCGTCGCCAGCTACGCCATTCCACTCGCCATTGCCGCTAAAAAATCCGGTTGCGGCTCGCTTTGGTGCTCAAATGCGCCAGGACACGCCCATGCGCCGTGTCAAATTTGGAGGCGTGTCCACCATTGTGTACGATTGTGGACTGCCCGCCCACATTGACTACGACCGGGACCCAGTATTTGCGCAAATCGTACAGGCAGAGCCCTTGAAGCAGGCACTACAGGAGGTTCGCTCCGGACGGGCTGCTCCTCCAGTTGTCATTGCATCAACACCAGTATCCACGGCTAATCTACATCAGCTCCATGGCCTGGCGCCTGCCACTAAGGCGCAGCTACAACACGTGGGAGTGGACAAGCACATGCTCCACTCGGCAGTGGCCAATGCGCCCTACTATAATCGCCTGTTTCAAACGCTGCAGGAGAAGGGCATTCGGCACGATCAATGCCAGTTGCTGGAGCCGCTCAAACAGGTACATGATTGGCTGCTGAACGATGAGCAACTTTTGGACGACATCGACAAGCTGTTCGCAGACATGGCCAACGCAGCCACTGCTGGCGGCGACATCAGTTATGGCAACGAGATGCTTACCAACTCCGCCAGTCACGACTCGGGCTTCTGCTCGAAGCCATCGACGCCTGGACATGCGGGCGAGGACTTAAACGCTAGTTTGGGCAAATTCACAAGCATCCCAGGCATTGAGCACATGAATATGTACCCCAACTGTGCCGCCATGTCGGAACAGTTCCAGCAGCTACACGTGGGCGACGCAAGCGCACCAGGTGGTAAGTAAAGTGGGACAGACCAATCAAATTTAATACTATGAAGATATTTCCTACTTGCAGATGCAGCAGCTACAGGCGCAGTCGCTGTCTCGAACATCAGCTGCCGTGATTGCGGCCTGGCCATTGAGTTCGGCGAGGTGGCCGTCAAGGCGGAGCGAGCGGGCAAGGAGATCGCTTGGCATCCGGGCTGCTTCAAGTGTCAGACGTGCCGCGAGCTGCTGGCGGATTTGGTCTATTTCTTCCACCACGGCCAGGTCTACTGTGGACGCGACTTGGCCATCAAGTTGAAGATACCCCGCTGCAAGGCCTGCGATGAACTGATCTTCACCAAGGAATATACCGCCGCCGAGGGCGCTACGTATCACATCAAGCACTTCTGCTGCCTGCAGTGCGACGAGCCGCTGGCTGGCCAGCAGTATATACCTGATGAGAAGTCTAACATGCCGCTATGTCTGGACTGCTATGACAAGTTTTATGCCGGCACCTGCAAGCGCTGCCAGCTACCCATTGGACCGGCCGATCAGGGCGTCTCCTGGGGCGACATCCACTGGCATGGACCGTGCTTCGTCTGCGCAGGGTCTCAATGCGCCAAGTCCTTGATTGGCGGTCGCTTCTGTGTCAAGCAGGACATGCCCTTCTGCAGTCCCGCCTGTGTGCGCAGCATTATTCCAGCCTGAATCGTAGGCAACTAACAATCCAAACAGTATTTCAATAATACGCACAAATGATTCTTCAGATTTATAGGTATATCTATGTAGTATTTCCACAAGCCATGCAACACTGCACAATTACGAGGTTGAATTCATTCTGCAATATTTAACTAAAGTGCCTAGCCTATACGCCTATATAGTATGATGATCTACCAATATATATTTATACATATATAGAGGTAGTTCATGCTCGATTTAAAGCCGTGCCAATTTATGGAAAACATTTACACGCTCGCATTTGAGTATATATGTATATGAAAGTATTTATATGAAAGTATCTATTTATATATAAAGTATTATCTATACACGTTTTTTACAACATTTTATAAAGCACTTTACACCACAAAAGTTTTAAATAAAATACACTTTGAATTGCTTGCAATATACTGGGAAATGTGTTTTCTGTATAGAAAAATACAGGTGGACGTTTATCCGGAGAAGATAAGTGATTTGCTAGATCAATGAATTTTCTAAGTCTTTCAGCAAATTTATATAAGAGTCATACGAAACCCAAACCAAATGCTTCAAGAAAACACGTGAATATTGTTATATTAATTTTTACGTATTTGCTGGTAGTTTTTATTGGTAATTGCATTTCATTATTAATTAAACATAATATTTCCATTTTATATGTATTATGTGTGTATGTATAAAGATTGTTTTCTTTTTAATTAATTTATTCTTTTGACATTTTGAGTTCATTACGAAAAGCGAAACTAAAGGAAAATCACATAATTTGCTGAATCGGAGAATCGGAAATTGGGTTGTGTGCTCAACTCTCAATCGAGAGCTCCAAGGATTAGGTAGCCTGCAAACCCTTTCTTGCAACTTGTTGTTCAGTTTGTCGTATATGTATATATGCATATTTTGGTGTGTACTCTCTGTATCGCCTGATCGTATATGGAGCGATCTATATTGGTGTGTCGGTATATTCTTCAATGAATCGAAACATCTCAAAGTACCCGTCGCAGTGCAGGTCTTTTCAGTGGATCACGATCTGGTATTTATGTATGGGTGTAAATAGGTGTGTATAGGTTAAATGAATTGATTTTTATGTCAAATATATGTTCAGCATGAATTCTATGTTCAAATGTTACTTGTTTTTTATTTCTCTGCAGTGTGAGCTACCAATTTGTTGATTTATCTTAACACTATTTTTCTTTCGCGCTCTCTTTCTCTCTCTCTTTCCGTTTCGCTTGCTCTTCTTTTTGTTTCGTTAATTTATATATTATATTTTTATAAGTATTAATTACATTGATAATTAGTTTAATTATTATGTTTGCTTGTAAACAACTTTACATGATAGGATTTTTAGTTTAGATTTCTTTTCTTGTTTGTTTCATGTTTGTAATTTGCTATAAACAAAAAACTATGCCTTAAAATAATACTTTAGTTACAAGTTTTATTTCTCGCGCTTTGCATTAATTTTGTTCGCCTACTTCGTTTGCATAACTAAAAAACAATCAACAAAATGAGTTAGGTGCAAATAAAATAATGATTATTATTTTTACTTTTTCTTTTTCTTTTTGTAACTAATATATATATATATCTATATGCTTGGGTGGGGGGATACCGGGTAAGAGGGAGTTTTCTATATAAAACGACAACTAATAGTAGGCCTTAAAGTTAAGATCGGGGATTCGCTGCAGAAAAAAATCAAAACAAAACAAACACTAATTACAAAGCGATCGGGCTACATCGGCTGTCTGAGGGGTTCTGCATGCAGCCAGTGTTGCCACACGTTGGCCGCGAGCAATTCGCTTGAATTTTGTTCCATTTCTTCTTTCTCTTCTTGTTCCGTTTAATACATAACCAAACCGTGTTGAATGCAGGCAGTGGCAGATATCAAACACAGACGCACAGATACAGATACGGACATTGATTCGCATTCAGATTCGGATGAGGATGCAGATTCAGTTGCTCCCGTCACACACGCACGCACACATACATACATACACACATGCCCACATACATCTTAAAGCTATACACAAAAAATGTCAAGTTAAATGTACGAAAAGATTTGCAATCGCCAACGTCTTGGAGGCCCTCCTAGAACATAATGCGTGCGAGGAGCAACAGAAAAAGCAACAGCAACAGCAACAGCCACAGAAGCCGTTGCCATGCGAGGAAGCTTCTGCCATTCATTTCCATACTCTGCCCGCTCCCATTTCCATTTTCGATCCCGTTCCTGCTCTTGTTCCTGTTTACGCTTAGCATCATCTTCACTGTCGTCTTCGCATTCATTCGCATTCGCATTCGCGTGTTGCAGCGTCGGTTGTCAACAATTCGTGTAGACGCCTTGAGTGTAATACAGCTCGGTGATCCGCTCCGGCAGCGTGCTGTACAGGTTGGTGATCAGGTCGTGCGGCAGGCGCGACCACGCCTCCTTGATGCGGAAGATGAGGTCGTCCTTACGCGAGAACTTTCGACCGCCGTCAAACACCTCGCGTATCAGCCAGCCCCAAATGTTCTCCATGATGTTCAAATCGTGGGCAATTGTGGGCCACTTTTGGGTCTTCAAGCCCTCACCATTGAGCAGCTCCTGGGCGGTGGGCAGAGCATGCGACATCCAATTGTGATCTTGCAGCACAAACTCTGTATTGCCGCCCAGTTTGCTGACAATGTTGGGGCGCTCCCGTAAGATGGCCTCGATGCAGGATTCGGGCCGCTGCTTGGCGGACGAGACTTCCAGATGGATAGGTCCACCGACGCAGATCATCAGGTAGATGTAGACGGAGTTGCCACGCGGCCGCTGCGACAGCGTGCGCTCATAGTTGCGCAGATCGTGAAAATAGTAGGAGAAACCATCGGGGCCATCCAAATTGAAGCGTCGCTCATCATGGAAGATCACACGGCGCCAATGCTCCTCGCTCCACACGATGTACGTGTTGGCAAAGTTGAGCCGCTCCGTTTGATTGTATTGCGAGAGGAGCGGCTCTGTTTTCAGTTTCTTGGCACAGTTGGCGGAGCCGGACGCGGATGTTGACGAGGCGGACGACGACGTTGAAGAGGATGACGAGGATGAACCTGACGACGAAGACGCTATCGCTGATGCTGACACTGATGAGGAGCCCGGCACACTGGCCGCAGCTGTGGCACGCAGCAGCGCATTTGCCGCGGCAGCGATATTGCTGTTGCTGCCACCGGCTATTGCTACTGCGCCGCGTGGCTGATGGCTGATGATTGTGGGTGAGACGCTGGAACCGTTCGATTGCTGTGTGGGCGCATGGCTGGACGCAGTGCCTCCTGTGCTGGAACTGGCCGCCGAGAAATTTGAGTTCTGATTGAGCGCATGCACAGGCAAGTGATTCTGTTGACTTTGCTGCACCTGCTGCTGCTGCTGCTGTTGCACTTGCACCTGCACCTTGTGTTGCCCGTGATGGGTGTGGCTCAGCTGCGTCTGTTGCTGTTGCTGCTGCGGCTGCTGTTGGTGCTGCTGGTAGTAGGGATGGTGATGATGATAGCTGATGTGCTGCTGGTGCTGGTGTATGGTCGGCTGTTTCAGCTGCAGTTGCTTCAGCTGTGTCTGCGACTGTGCGAGCAGCTGTTGCTGCTGCGCATGAGCTGCGGCTGCGTTGTTGTTGCCCGCCGGCTGCGCTGTGCCCACATAGTTGCCCTGATGATTCAGATAGTAGTGCAATGCCATTAGCTTGTTGGTATTATTCACTGTGCCCGCGCCGGCGCCTGTGCCACCGCCCCCCACAGTGCTCATCGTGGTGACGGGCACCGCTGTGCCGCCTGCCACTAGCTGCACGCCTCCTGGATGTCCATGGGCGGCTGCTGCAATGGCGCCCGCACTGGCTGCCAACTGAGCTGCTGATTTCGGATCGTAAATGAACTTGTTAAAGTTCTGCAGATCGTCCGGACTGAGCACTAATGTTTTCATTTGAAGTCTGGATTGAATCGCTGCTATTTTCTTGTCCTTTTCCCTGGGGTGTTGTTCTGTGCTCTTGCTGTTTATGTTTACGTTGTTGTTATGGATTTATGCTTTATGTACTTTCATGTGCGCAAACGATGTGGCAACTCTAGTATTTCGTAAATGCAGTCGACTGAGTGCGCGGCTCCAAGTTGATCACGCTCACGCACACGCACACGCACAACGCCAACTACAACGACGCACTTTCACGAATGCGCGCTGCTCGTCGACTCGCCACTGCCGAGATTTCCAAATTCGTTGTGCGCTCGAGTTCGAGTTGTATTAACGGTTGTTAAGCAACACCGAACACCGAACACCGAAATGCCGAACAGCTACAGCTCTATGCCCACCAGAGTCTCTCTCCTCTCGCTCTCTGTCACTTGTCTTGCGCTCTCGCAATGTCCAGCTAGAGGTACGCTCTTTCGTTCGATCGCCTTTGTCTACGTTTCACAGTGGGCGTACATGCGTGCGTATGTGTGAGTGTGTGTGTGTGTGTGTGTCTGTTATCAAAGGGCTAGCCCTGGCCCTGCTGCGTGTTTGTCGAATTAAGCTTCAGCTCTCGGTGGCTCTCTGGCACGATTGCAAAAGTCGACGACGTCGTAAAAAGATGTCGGTTTACTTTCCCACGTACATACGTGCAAGTTGGCAGCTCCGTTGTCGTAAGTCTGTGTGTGTGAGAGGGTATGTGTATGTGTGAGTAGAGCTCTTTCAATATGTTATCCTCTTTTGTTGAAGTGGTTTTTCTTGTCGGTTGCTGTTGCTGTTGCTGCTGCTGCTGCTGCTCTTGCTGTCGTCGGTTGGTTGCTGTGCAAATGTTTCCTTGTTTCTTTATTCTGCGTGCCGCTGCTTCGATGTTGCCCCTAGCTGTTATTGTTGTTGTTGTTGTATTGCCGCTTTTAGGTATTCAGTTGTCGTCGATTTACCTGGAATGAAATAAAGCAGGTACGTATGTGAGAAAGAGTCTTGTTTCACACTTTGCATTGTGTTTTCCCATACAATATATGCAGTACACACACACACACACACACACACACACGAATCACTTATATAAATGCATTCACATACACGTATATAAATATATACATATGCATATATTTATATATACATATATAAGTGTGTATTTTAAGAGTTGCTCGTGTGTGCATGAGCCGAAACATGTATTCCAATAATTTCTTGGTGAAATCTTCTTTGTGCCCGACAATATGGAAAAAAAAATCGAAACAACAAAAACAACCATTCGGAACAGATGTTCAACGTACTCAGATTTCAGGTCCCCGTTTCCCTATGCCAAAAAGTAAATAAAAGGTCGTCTGTCTCTCGGTCGTCAGCGTCATCGTCGCAGTTGGTGTCTTTTGTCGTTTCTTTTAAAATGAGAGCACACGCACACAAATGCACGCACAACCAACACACATACACACTTGGACAAGTGCAGTTGCAATTCGCATTTTGGAATTTTTGTTTTTTTGGGAATCTTTGTTCGTTGTTGCAAATTTCACTTTGTAGCTCGGTGTTTTTGTGTGTTTCTCTGTTTTGTATTTTCGACACCAGCAGTGATTGGGTCAAAGTTCAACTGCTCAAGGAGAAATTCACAACAAATATGTTTTGTGCATATGCTGCGCAGGTAGCCAGATGATTCCGCCGGCAGGTGTTAAAACGAAACATCCTAAATATATATATAATCACTATCCAGCTGCTATGAAACATGTTTTCGACTGATTCAACAACGGGGAATGAATATGTCCATATATGCACGCACACAGATTCATTCACACATGTACACATTCATAACAGGGACTAAAAACCGGTTGGTGATTGATGTCTAAACTAAATGAAACTAAACTTAACAAATATCAAATATTATACAAATAATTCAATCAAATGTGACCCATTTTTAAATATACTTGAAATAAAAATAAATAAAAAATCTTTCATGAAGCTGTAATCAATGTTTAGTATTGATTATATATTTTGAATCACAATAACAATTTTTTTTGTTATGAGAACCACCTTCCAAAGGAATTTGTTAAATCACCATTCATAGATCGATGCTTTTGCAGCCCTGGAATATATTCAGACACAATCTGTTTTAAAGAGAGACGGATTTTGTTTTGTGCAATTTTGTTGCGTGTTGTTCGGGAAAAAAACGAAGCCAAAAATAATTTTGCTATATTTGAGTTTGTTGTTGTTGCTGATTTGACGTTTTTTGTTTTTGTTTTTGACGATAACGCTACGGCATTTAATATATGCATTGTACACACTCATACATATACTTATATATATATATATATATACATATAAAAAATCTGTATATGTACAAAAGACATTTAGTATACACATAGGCCAATGTTTCTACGTGTTGTTCCGAGCTTTGCGAACAGAGCGACAGACAAACGCTTCGGTAGACACGAGTAGCAGCACGCACGCACGCACGCACAACTTCCAATACCGATATTTCAGTTGCTCCCTGCTCCCCCTGCCGCTCTTCCACAACAATTAGCTAATAAATTTGATTACTATGTATTTGCGGGCACAGTATTAAGCTGGCCAGGCCAAGAGCTGCCAGTATACGATGGAGCCATTTCCTAAATGGTGTGAGTTTCCCATTTTCTCATTACTTCTGCGATTTCACAGTAATAATAAAATGAAATGAAATGAAAACCAAGTCCGCATAACAACAGGGATGAAAACCGGTTTGGTGCCCAAAAACCAGAGTAAGGGAAGAAGAAAGCTGCTGCTGCTGCAGGGCCATTCGCCTTTGTGTGTGTGAGAACGTATGTGTGAGTCTCTTTGGGGTTGTTCATTCGCCAGTGTTGCCGTATGCGTGTGTGTGTGTGTCTTACTGCTGCTGCGATATAAGTCGGTCGCCTGTCGGTCACTTTTGATCGAAGCGAGCACAACAGTTCACAAACTATGAACAATCACCAAATGTTTTTAAATACATATTTATGAAGATTCTATGAAAATATAATATATTAAAAATGAACTCTTTTGAAATTATAAAAATATCGAAACAGGTTGAAAATAATTTATATTGAGTAGATTTATCATTTCAATCTAAATTTGAAAAATATAATATATATATAATGAACATTGAATTACTTGAAAATAAATTAAATTTGTATCATTGATTGATTTTAAAATATGTTCATATATATTGAAATGTTAAAATTAATTGAAAATAAATTTTGATTTTATAATTGAATGACTTAGGATTTGTATATTCTGAATATATTATTATTAAAATTAGTTGAAAACAAATTTAATGAATTATAACAGTACAATTGATTGATTAAGTGTAGTTTTATAAATGCAAAATATATAAGAAGATCAAGTTTAAAATATTTTCTATAAATTCCAATCGAATAGATTGCTCGAACAGAGCTCAGATACAAAAAGCGTAGATCATTTCAAAGAAATATTTAAGTTTTACACACTATTCGCGGAGGTCGAAAGTTCAACGCGAAGACAAACCACTTCGGTTAACGTCACGAACAAAAAAAAACTTTTTTTTTTTTTTTTTCGAATTGGTCGCGTGGTATGTGCTTTTATCTATTATACACCTGATACGATAAGATATAAGCAAACAACGATCGCAATAATATATTATTATTATTATTATTATTATTGGACTTCAAGCTGTAACAAGCTACGCCCGATAAATATAGTATAGTAACTGTTTTTCGAATTGGCTGACTAAGAAAATTCAAAGGTAAAAAACACACGTTTGACTCATGTTATCTCTGCCATATGATTCGAGGAAGCAGTTTTTTTTTTTATTTATTATTATTTACTGCGACTTTGTTGCTGCTGTTTTTCGCAAGTAATTTTTTTTTATTTATTTATTTTTTTTTTTTCAATCCACCATGTGATTCACACTTGAGAATTTATATTTACAGCTTCACTGTTCCCAATAGCATTGATTATTGATTTCAAATTGATTATTGAATGTACAGATGCGTATAACACTTTTGTAAAGTCAAATTTTAGGACACTTTTGTCTGCTTTCAATGCAGTGAAAAATATTGCAATTTGCTCTTGATGTTGTTGCTGGTCAAAGCCATATTGTATTCTGCATGTGTATGTGTGTATGTACAAGTGGAATGCGACAAATAACATACGCGAATACGCGTTGTGGGTGGGAATTGAATCGTTTGAACAATAACGTTGTTTTGTATAGCGTCGTGTTTTACGTTTTACGTATCACATGCATGCATTTAACGAGACCTCTCCTAGATGCACATACACCAAACCAATTCAAGCACATGTAAATATATACATATGTAAATATCCAAAAATATAAACGAACCCAACGACAGCGACACCAACAACAGCGAACTGATGTTCGCTCGAGCTGTACGTAATAAAATCCCTAGCGCTGCAATGCAGTCGCTGTCGCTGTCGTAGTCGGCAGCGCAGTTGCTGCGCAGCCCATGCTTCGCCTCTTATTTATAAATTGAGCCAGCCCTTATGTGTTCAACTCTGTTATGTACCAGCAGCAGCAGCGGCTGGCGAGACATACATATGTACATACACATTGTCTCTACGTAGTACGTGCGTGCATGAGGTTTGTCTGAGTTCGTATGCGTGTGCGCTCTTGTGTGATGCCATCGTCGATATTGAAAGTATGTATGTATGTATGTATGAACATTTGTACATAATACGACGTATCGATGTTGGTTTGTACGGTACGAATCGTTGAAAATTGCTTGGGTTTGCGAACAACGGGACGAAGATTTGATACGAAGTAATTCTTTCAGTTAATTGTTTATATACATACATATTCATGAATGTATGTATGTACATATCATTTTCATTTTTCACGGAACAAATATGGCTGCACAGAAACTTGCGTTGAAATCGCTTACGCTGCTCACATTAAAGCTTATAAAAACTTTTCACATTCACAATAAATATATGTACATATATATAAATATATATACACACAATAAATATAAATATATTTATATATATTTACACATATGTACGTAAGTATACATGTATTTCTGGTTTTTTAATCAAATATTGAAAGAACGAACGACCATTAAATGCTGACTGGCTGATTGGGGAGCGTAGATTCCGTTTGCGTTGCCGTTTGCTGGTTTGAGTGCGTGATTACGCCATTTTCTTTACTCTTGCACGCCCAATTTCACATTTACCTCTTTGTTATATTTTTGTATTTATTGCTTTGCACACGCGTACATTGTGTTGACGATTTATTTAAAGTATTTTATATATATAATATTTATATATATCACTATTGGGTAAATTTTTCCTTTAATAATTCTTTAAATGCATTTGTTAAAACTTATAAGTTTTCACCACTACCACACACACGACTTGTCGACAGACTCGCTGAGGTTAGGGAGATGGCAAAACGTCGATATTTCACAAGCGATGATCTTTTTACTATCGTATATATCGATTAGTCTGTATTAGGTCTGTAAATTGTCTGTAAGATGAAAATTTACAATTTACTTCAAATAATCTGATGTTTCTTTTGAACTGAACAAAAGTGTTTATTTATTAACTTTCTTGTGGTTAAATTTAAGAGACATTACTAGAAAAGAGTTGTCTTCCAACATAAAATATCAATTATATGTTGATCGTTATAAAAGTGTTTATGTGGTTGTATTAATGAAATTAAATAAACTAAAAAACTTTTTTTTTTATGTAAATATAAACTTAAAGCAATTACAACGTACAAACGATACTTTAGTAGTCAAATGTTCTCATTAATCGATTTGTAACATTTGGTCATTTGAACAGCTGAGCTTTGCAGATGTAATGTTAATTTTTTGTTTCTCAACCAGCTGCTAAAATCCATTTGCAAATGTTAATCCAAGCTGTTAACTCCCCAATGAGATCACAACAAGACTTCAATGGCTTATATGTACGAGCGTGCCAAATTACTTATTTCTATTTTCATAAAAATGAAAGAACTACACAACTCTTTATCAGCAATAAGTTTCGCTTAGTAAACATTTAGTCGGTTGGATTTTGAATAACAATGAGAATAAAATCCTTGTCGGGGGCGACCATAATTTCATGTTTCTTGGAGCGCACTCGAAGGAATGTCATGTCGTTGGATGGGTCGAGATCGCGTACCACACTCCGCGCTTTGTCGGCCAGTTGACTCATCAGACCCGCATATTGAACGGTTGTTGTGTTGTCAAGCGTCGACTTAACTGGAATACCTAATAAGCCAACTATGTGTGAATAAGGTACCACGAAATAAATGCAAATTATGAATCTACCTTCATTGTTGACGACAATTGTTCCAACGACACCCTTATGGCTTTGGATTCGCTTCAGCGTTTCTTCTACTTCTTGCGACTGATATTAAAAAAGAATGTAAATTCATTATTTTTTTTATTATTAATATTTATTTTATTATTATTATTTATTTACCATTTTATCTAGTTTAGTTTAATCTCTTAAAAATTGAATGCTTTGCAAAAAAATAATAAACTTTTGTTTGTTCGATACGGCGGTGTGACCACCGTTCGAAAAGAGAAAACGCCAAATTAAGTTAAAAATACTAGTGCAATGTTGTTTGTTTATATATGTGGCGAGCTGCAGAATTTTTCTTTAAATATATATATATATTTTTTTATAGTTAACGGTTAAAATAATTTCAGTTAAATACTTGTAAGAATACAAGAATATACCATTTACTTAAGATAGCTGCAAATGGGTCACACTAAACACCGGTATTTGACCTGCAGACCTACATAACAGTCATTAGGAGATCCATGGCAACCAAATAAAGTAAAAATATATGGTATATAGTGACCGAATTAATTGATTAACTATGATTAAAGGTGCTCCTGAAAAGGTAAAGCTTTGAAAAAATATAATCCATATTAATAACAAAATAATTATTTATTTATAGCCACGACGAACACTTCAATATGTTGAAGAAGCTTTTCGACAAATTGAAAAGAAGAAAAACATTCGCGATGTTGTTATTGTTAACGAACTGGGTCATCCAGTAAAAAGCACAATGGAATTTAAGTCATCTGTAAAATTTGTTGGACTATTTCAAGAACTTCAAGGCAGAATAGAGCGAGGAATGGAACACATTGATCCCACTGATGAATTCTTGATGCTGCGGGTACGCACTAAATCCGATGAAGTTCTGTTAGTGCCAGACTCTAAAATTACAATTATTGTGGTTCAAAATGCAGATAAATAAAATTGGTAGCAATTTTCTCATAATAAATATTCAAATTGAAATTTTTACCGGGTCCCGCCTTGCGTCACTTTTGCGCTAACAGTAAGTGTATGAACTGCGTTAACAGGTGCTATCGCTCGCATGTTATCGACGTCATGTCTGTTCTAGTATTTTGACATCTGGCTCTGTTCTAGAACTAGATTATCTCTGTTATGGCACTGTTGGTAAACAAACTTGGTCATATATTATGATTGTAAAACAATAAATGCCGAATATCTCTCTTTTTAATTTCTAGTGTAATATATTGTTAAAAATTTGTAAAGAGTTGTAAAGACATTTGAAGCACTGTTGGTTGCGCTGTTAATGTTATGTTGATAAAATGTTAAGTTAACAGACGAAATGAACGGGAGTCAAACCCAACACATACGTACGCAGAGTTTTGTTGTGTTCGGTTGGTGTGCTATTTACGTCGTAATTAAAGTAAGAGCAAAGATACTAGCGCGTAATTAATTAATCAAATTTGTACGACTTTGCTGAAAGGTGTGCAAATTGGTTTGTTTTTAACACGCGGTGATGCTGAAGTGGTTGCTGACGTCGCGGCAAAAATTGATGACGTCGCGTTTCAGCCTAAAAAGGCGTTGACAAAACAAACTTGAAAACGGAACGCAAAGCAAATGCAGACATAAAAGCACAACAACAACAACAACAGCAACAGCAAAAACAACACAATAACAAGAAAAGGAAAAAGAAAGAACTATAAAATTCTGTCTAAAACGTAGCTACGATATACGCAAAGCAGAAGTCGATAATTTATATTGTTTAAACAAATATTCAACGTTACTCGTATTCGCATTCGTGTGTGACTGTGTGCGTGTGTTTCTGCAATATAAGATTGTGCAAGTGTGCGAATCAGAAATAGAATTTACATACGAACGCGACACCCACACAAAACGTACGGTAAATGCAGCGCCGCAAAAATGAGCAGCATAACGCTAAACGAAATGGTCAACGTGACACAGCTGGATTTACACGATCTATTAGAAACTTTCGAAAAAAAATCATTCGAGGCGGTAGCCTTTGAGGAAGGTACAACGGTAAGTCGAAAGCCTGTAACATCAAAAAGCCTGTAGGCGGCGCACGTGCACGTGTAGTAACATTTCCGCTAACAGTGCTGAACTTTGTCAAAAGTAACGCATAAAAGGGGACGGGGATGCAGTGACGTTGCTGAATTTCGGCTTAACAGCAACATTTGCCTGTAACCCACCCCGTCGGTCCTTTATTTTAATGTAGCCGCGCCCAACGGTCTGAAGCGTAACCACTGCTCTAAATTATTTTTCATTTGCTATCTCCCTCTAAATCCCATTACTCTTTTTAATAGAAATCGATAGGCGCATCTTAAGATTTGTAGCCAAAGAAGAAAATATGTAACTTGTAACGTGTATGCTTGCTTGTCTTCTTCTTCTTCGTTTTCTCCTTCAGCTTGACATGCTTTGCCCTCGTTTCGAGTTACGGATGTGTTTGTCGCTAGTCAATTACAACATTTACGACTTTTACAACAATCAGTTGACACGCACTTGACTAATCTGTTTGTTGGCCCCATTTTTCCTAACTTTTATTTATGTGGGCTGCATAATATTACATTTTATGCGGCAAGAAGTTTTATTGAAAAAATGTGCAATAAATTACTACTACTACTTTTATTATATTAATGGGGGCGTCATCTTTTCGTCATCTCTGTTGCATCTTTGATGTTCTCTGTTAGCTTCCTGTTAACTTCCATGTTAATTGACCGCCAAACGCTAGCCGGCAACAATAACAACATGTGTAAATGCGAATTCAAAAGAGATTGTGCTTGTGTGTGGGTGAAGGAGAGAGAGAGAGAGAGTGGGGCAGACAGTGCATTTATTTATATATGCAAATGAAAACCGCAAACAGTTGGCAACAGCAAAACAACAAATGACTCCACGCGGCCATACTACACACACATGTGTATTACAAAACTTGGCGTAACAACAGCTAGTACTAGTACGCTGTTACCCTTCTCCTTCTCGTTCAACTTCCATTTTTCCCTCACCTACTGCCGATGCATTTACTCAGCTGCAATGCAATAATGATAAGAACAAATGGTTGGCAATCAACCGAAGTGAATGAGCAAAAAATATCCAAATGTTTGTCTTGCCTGTTTTGCGTGTATAATTGCAACTGCAGTTGCATTTTAGACTTTAGAATGTTGTGCACATTATCTATTCTCTTTTTCTTGTGCGTTTATCAAACCTTTTATGTGCTTATCAGCTCAGAACTTACGTATTTTCTTATCAGCGGGCAACATTGTCAACGCTAATGTCAAAATAAAAATAAATATAAATATTAAAAAAAAAAAATACCAAAATTGAAAATGGAAATACAAAAATGCTTTCTTAGTTTTTGTTTACATTATAAAACTAAAAAAAAAAAAAAAAAAAAAAACATCATACCCTTGTAATCTCATGTAATATATGTAAGTACATATGTAAGTGTGTATATTCACAATCAGGAATTGAATTATTTTAAAGCATATCAATTGGGCACGTACAATCTGTACGTGTTTAAGAGCTTTCCACAAATCGAATTTGTAACTACTTAAACAAAGCGATCTCGGGCTTTATATGTGTTTTTTGTTTCTATGCAGTTCTATCTGAAATAACATAATATTTCTATTCATACATTGTTTAAGTATTTTTCCCAATTTGCCAGACTCCTGCTCTTAATTTAAATACAAGCGTCTAGCTTCAATAGCTCCGAAATGCTTTACGCTTGAACAGACGGGCACATAACTTTTTTGAGATCTTCATTAAGTATATTGTACATTACTTATATTACTTATATATATATTGTATATAAATATATTTTATATATGTATATACTACTAAGGCATAAAAGATGTACCTTTGTTCGTTATTTTGTTACATTTTATTTTCAAGAAAACAAATTTGAGGAATTAATTATCAGTCTGGATTTAATCGATTTATTTTCTCGTTTTTCTTTGCTTATATACTGTTCAATCAAACAACAGCAATCATTATAAATCGATTAGACCCGTATCAATACTCTATTTTATAAATATAACCCAAGTTTCTTATCAAATAGAAAAAAAAAAAAAAAAAAAAAAAAATATATATATATATATATATATATATATATATATATATATATATATATATATATATATATATATATATATTGCAGTTAAGCATTGCCGACTGCAGAATGCTTATTTATGGTCCAAACGTTGTCAGGCTCATTTTTTCGAAGGTATGTTTCGAATTTCCAGACACTAGCTTCAATAGCCGTCAAACGGGCAGAAGGACGGACAGCAAAGCGTACATTGATTGCACAAAACCAATATACTCATTTCACGTCCGTGATTGAGTATAAAAACAGGTGCACCTCGTACGTCGCGAGCTGCATTTTAATACGAAGCTCTGCGTCTTAATGTTTTTTTTTTTATTTTTGCTGTTTTCTTTGTTTAAAGTTGTTTACTTAACTGCTTTTATTTTGTTTGTTTTTGTTTATTTTACTTAATGTTTTATTTTCGCAGAAATTATTTATAGCTTTAATACTAGCACGTGAGCAAACAATTTGCGTGTTAGATTTAGCTTCAAATGGGCGCCAGATCAAGTCAGTTCTGATTGATCAGGGATCAAAGTTTCATTTCTGGGAATTACATAGCAGACAAATAATAAATAAATGTAGGAATATACAAAAAGGGTAGAATTGAATCACAAATAAACAGATATCTAAATATATACAAATATGGAGAAGTGTTATTGGGAGAATTATTATAAGACCGGCGGGGAATACTCACAGAAGAGCACATCAATTGGATTGCATTAGATTTACATATTTGTTTCGCAGAAAATAATAATTAATATACAAATTATGGACTAAAATTATAAAATTAACAAGGTTTTAAAAGCAACTCGGCGCAAACTTTAGGGGAGCTCTTAGCTACTACCTACTAATAAACTCATACTATATGCGTATATACATACATATATATTTTTAATTACTTTCGAGCAAATAGTAAGAAGAATAAGATTAGATAGACTCAGCTCATGAGAGTACGTACAGAAGAGAGGAATATATTTTTATTTTTTATGGAAGATAAACGGAGCTCAAAGCCAATATACTCTTTCATATTTTGGGACCGAGCAGCAATTTCTGTCTTTAGTTAAGTTTATCATCGAGGTAGACAAAATAAGAAAAACCAATTGAAATGGTTACACATCAAGATATTTGAACATTATATTTAAACACATCTAAAAAAAAAAAAAAAAAAATATTGTATTGTGTACATTCATTAATATATATATAAATATATTTTATATATATTTGTTTAGTTCGCAGTAGACATCAGATGTTCGCCTGATCCTTGGATCGACTGATCTAATTGTTTTGCATAGCCCTCTTCAGCTCGAACTCGAAGTCGTCCATCTCGAGATCGAATCCCTCACATTTAATGGCAGTGCCATCCTTATCGAGCTTCTGCTGTGCCCAGAGTATTAGTTTCACCAGGAACATCATTTTGGGCTCCATGCAAGCAGTATGGCCGCCTCTGCGCAGAGCTGAGTCCAGTTCTCGTTTCTCCTCGACGGAACCTTTTTCAGTCCGTTCCACTTCTAGTTCCGTTTTAATGGAAGCGTTACTGTTGTAGTTGTTGCTCTCACGGATGAGCTCAATAAGATGCAGCTGCTGCATGTGAAAGTACATGTAGTTCTCGCTCTCGAATAGCTTCGGATACAGCCTTTTGGCCATATCAATGGCATATTGAACTTGAGCGGTGCGCACAGCGTCCTTAATGCGTTTCTGATATTCCACTGGGTCCATCTGTGTCGTTTCAGATTCGAGGCGCGCCACAGCCTCGAATCCCTGGGCCACATCCAAATAGCCTTCAGCCACTAGATATTTCATAATCAGCCAATTGATGTCCGCCTGCTTGGACTGAAAGCTCTTCATGCGATGTGGCCAACCAGTTCGTGGACTACTTCCAGCCATCTTCAATATATTTACATATATACCGCGTTAGTTTGATGTTAAAGTTCTATAAAGATTGCGCAAAAGAAAGGGAGAAATTAATATTTATATAATGATAATATAATATCAAGATATAGAAGTTATATAGATAGGTCTCGATTCAATATTTATGGTTAGATTCAGAGAATAAATGAACTTTTGTTGAATTACGCAGAGCATGTCTTTGATCTCTACAATATATAGATTTCCTTTGTTACCCTAGGTTAAATTTTGTTTTCCAAATTGTAGGTTATATAAATGTATTTGATTTTTCGAGGACATATGGCTCTAGTGATTCCCGAGCATTAGAATAAAGGCAGCAATTTGCAATCAGTTTTAATCTGTTGCCAAGGTGATTGAGCTGATTAAATGTTGAACTTCAAATGCACATAAAAATGATTGCAAACAACAAGCTCAAAGCAAACAAATAAGAGAATAAAATAAATGAGAGGAAGCGATACAGGGATACTCTGTAAACGAACAAACATTAGGAGAAACTATATAAACTAAAAAGTATAAATATATAGAGTTTGATATAGATTTAAATCGATTCATAGATAGGGATAAAACTGTCTAGTTACTTGAAGCAAGCTTATTTTTTTATTCATTTACAATTTATGTTTTCATTAAAGAAGTTTAGCGTTTAAAATTAGTAGCTTCTAATCAAGATTCAATTATTGATTATGATAAAAGAATATAAATATATGATCAGCCATGTCTCCTTCAATCTGTTGCCTAAAAAAAAGATCAATCTATCCGGTTTCATATTTTTCAACGGATTCAGCGTATAAAAAATCAAAATGAAAAAATCCGCATATAAGTACAGTACTTGCTCGATAAATTATTCAATTAATGTCATAAAATAAATTTCAATAGGTATTAAAACTTATAACTATAAAAATGATTAATTGATAAAAATGATATGATATATGATAAAAAAAATATGTTTTAATATTCATTCATGACATTTCTAGACTGATGAGCCTTATCGAAACAACACTGTACTAGTTAAGTGCTCCGTATTACTTTGCTTATGAATTATCATTAAAATTAACAACAATTTTTAGTGCTCGTTTTTTATGGTTTGTTTTTAGCTTTGTTTGCATTTGTTTTTTATTTTTAATTTTTTTTTTTTTAATTTTATTTATAACAAACCTTGCCCAATGACATTGACATTGTGTGTGTGTATGGGTGTGTATGTGCAGCGCGTTATCGAGTGGGCGCCAAAATGAGATTGTGTACGGGGCTGGCGGATAAAAATAGTTCAAAACAAATAAATATGCAACAATGTACAGTTGTATATGTATATACATATATATATAGAGTATATATTATTCACTTTCAATAGAGCCCACCTGTTGTTGTTGTTGTTGTTGCTATTGTTGTTCTGTTTAGTTGCTGTTCAACCAAATGCTAATGTTGGCCAAAATGCAATCGAAAATGTTGTAGACAACGATAAAGAAGCGCAGCAGGCAATAGAATTCCAGAGCCAGAAGGCTGAGGATGGCCACATAAAGATGATCCTCGTGCAGCAGATCCATGCAGACCAGCACTAGATAAATTTCTATGTAGTTGTTAATTTTAACTTATTTTTTGTTTAAATTGTGTACGTAATCAAATTTGTTGGGGTTTTGCGTTTGTGATTGCGACTGCGACTGCTGCAGCAGCTGCAGCTGCGTTTTTCTCGTTTTCCTTCCGTGTGCTTTGTGTATCTCGCCTGGCAGCTCGCATCCAAATCGCTTCCAGGCTGCAAAAACGCCCACGCGACGGCAGCGACAGCAGCGCAGCAACAGCAGCAGCAGCAGCAGCTGCACTTATTGGGGGTTGAATGCGGCCGGCAGTACAGTGTTGATTCGCTAAACGAACGAATTGTGCATTTGGTCGCCAGTGCGCAGGACGCCCACGCCATCATCTGTCCAACTGTAGCTCTCTGCTCTCTTCTGTGCGCCTATGCCGTTTGGCAGCGCCTGTGTGGGTGCAGCGGCCAAGCATCAAGCTTCTCGTTCTCGTTCTTGTTCGTGCAACTCTTCTGCCCACTGTAATGTTGTCGTTGTGTGGGCGCTTTGGAATACGGTAGACAGGCGCACATAAATCAAAGAAGCCGCTCAGCTGCAGCGCATTCCAGCGAAATGGCCAAACGTCAGCGCACAGTGGAGCAAGACATAAAAATAATGATTAATATAAATCATAAATAAAATTGCTAAATGCCAATATAGTAATCTACATCAATTAGTTGAAAAGCTCAAAAGAACGACAAATCTTGAACTGCAGATCAAAAAGAAATTTCAATTTAATGATTAGATATAAATCGTGAACTGACATTTGAATTTGATTGAAATTTGGACTAATTTAAAATATTATAATGCACAAAATGCGGAACAAGATCATCACAAATTGTTATTGTCGTTGTTAAGGTTAATTATATTTGAATTATTATTCCAATGTAAATTTTTGATTATATTTATATGACTCATTTATTTTGTGCAACGCTTGAGTGAAAACTAATTTTAGAAGCACCTCTAAAATGATACTACAAATTTGGAACTTGTCGATTAGTTAGCAAGGACGTGTGATACGTATAATAATTATATATTTTGAACAATCTCAAATTTTTTATAAATATATTTCATATACATTTGTATATAATGTTTTAATAGATAGTTCACTTCATACAAATTTTACAAAATAAATTTCTAAATAATATATTATTATCTTTTATTAAATAGATCCTTTCATTGTTTCCGTTAGGGTAATTTGTATTTTACCAATTAGTTTATATAACTCATTCCACTGTGCGCATGTCACTTTAGTCCTTTGTTTCCTTCTATCTGTTTCTGGTTGCCTGTTGCACGTTGAACTTAAACCGTGGAAGCGCTGCACATCAGTTGGCCTTGGGTTCGCTTGGTCTGTTGCCCTTTCTGGCAGCTGTTTCCGTGTATTTTAGCGTGGGACGCACCACAGACACTTGGCACAGGTGTGCAGAATTAAGCGAAACGGTCGCAAATGGCAATCCGGCAAGTCGAGCGCATGTCCGGGAGAGTGAATAACGGGAGTCACTGCTGCTGCTGCTGTTGCAGTCGCAGCTTATTTTGATTCGATTAGCCAAAAGTTTCCAATGCGTTGCTGCCACATTCCAAGAGCGAACGACAACTATCAGACGGACGACTAGTTGCCATTATGATATCTGACCCGGTCCCAGGCAGAGTTGAAAGCCAGAAAATAGGTGCGCATGATTTGTTCATCCAGGCTCCAGCTGCACGTACACATCCGGATTAGGAGATGCTGATACTGATGCTGGTGCTGCCTGCTTTTTATGAATGCCTGCTGACAAGCAGATAAAATCGATAATAATTGAAATGGCGAACGCATCTCTGACAATATTTAATTGCTGCCGCGAGTGCAGCGGCTCTAGCTGCGTATTTTTAGGTTTTTATGAAATGTTAAGGATTTATGAAATATTAAAAAAAATACTCTTATATCATTATAATAATATACAATTTTATTTGTAAAAATAAGAATATTTAATTAGGTTTGTGATGATTATCTTCTATTCTATATTCTTTAATCCATTTCTAAAATGTCCTAGTTATAGACACAGCTCTTAAATTTCTATTCATTCAATAATTGTATTCAATAATAATCATAACTGACTATCAATTATCCTTTGATTGTTAGTATTATTATCATTATCATTATTATTATTATTATTATTATTATTATTATTATTATTATTATTATTATTATTATTATTATTATTATTATTATTATTATTATTATTATTATTATTATTATTATTATTATTATTATTATTATTATTATTATTATTATTATTATTATTATTATTATTATTATTATTATTATTATTATTATTATTATTATTATTATTATTATTATTATTATTATTATTATTATTATTATTATTATTATTATTATTATTATTATTATTATTATTATTATTATTATTATTATTATTATTATTATTATTATTATTATTATTATTATTATTATTATTATTATTATTATTATTATTATTATTATTATTATTATTATTATTATTATTATTATTATTATTATTATTATTATTATTATTATTATTATTATTATTATTATTATTATTACATACAGACATATATATATATTTAATAATCCGATCATTAGTATACTTGATATTATTATTAATTTACTTATATTATTATAGTTAATAGTATGTATTCTCAAATATTTACCATACACACACAGATTGAAGAAGGGGAGCAACCGACGACCAAGGGAGCAGGAATGCAACTGAAGAAGCGCCGTAGTAGGCTTGCCCTTTAAATAGGAAGCGACTCTCACACTCCCACTCGAAATCTAACTCAGCTAGGCACCAAGCTTTAAGTGTATTTTGAAAGAGAGTAACTCTTAGAAGCGAGAGTACTTGATACAGTTGTCAGAGCTCTACCTGCTGCCACTCAGCTTCTTCAGTTCCTATTTTTATATGCTATACTCTTATTGGTCGACTTTAATATTACATATACGATATCAGTTAGCCTGAGAAGCAATCACAGAGGCACATGCAAATAACTGCATGCATATTGTCGCTGAGTTAAGCGAAAAAGAGGTTGTGGAAATCAGACACAAATATCATTGAGAGAAATAGATGCGATGTTTATATAAATAGAAAGCATATTAAGTTTATAATATGTATATTTAATATTAAAATACTGGAGATGCTCTTCCTGATTGCAATGTCTCTTTTTCTCCCACTCTCTTTTTAGTCTTTTACCCACTCACGCACTCACTTTCTCTCTCTCACTCACTCTCACGCTTTCTAACAACTATTGCCAAGTAAAATATGCTTCCGTCTAAACAAGTATTATTATTGTTGTTATTGTAAATCGTTTTGGGTAAAGCTTTTTAAAAAGTTGTTAACAATCGAAATATGCAAATGCTATTAATGCCCATAATTTCCATATGAATGTGCATATCTGCATGTGTATATAAAATGACCTTGTCAATCTACCGAAAGCTTTACGAATAAATAATTCACATTTACATATTTCATATGGTAATAAATAGTGCCACGATAACTTGCATTTCGATAACTATGTGCTTATCGAAAACTTGAACGAGGTCTTTGAACGCTATAAAACTCAAAGAAAATAACAAAAACAATTTATGTATAAACATGGAAACAGCAACAAAAAACAAACGGAACTTTACAGAATGCATGTACCAGGTGTGGTCAGTGGCCCGGCCTATTGTGAACTTGTTTCCAGTGACGCTCTGTCGCTGAATAATTCATTCAAGAAAAGCAATTTTCCGTGTTCAGCAATTGATGAATATGCATGAACTCAAAATACATACAGCATACATGCCCACATGTACATGCATGCATGTGTGTATGTGTGCGTGATGATATGCATGATAAGCTTTGCCAAAAAGCCAGCAAAGCCAACGAGACGTTTATTTACATGCTGTGTGTCTTGTTTGTATATTTCCTTCTCTTTTTTCTTTTCTTGTCGTCGTTGTTGTTGTTGTTGCAGCAGCTGCTGCTGCTGCCGCTGTTGCTGCTGCTGCTGCCGCTGTTGCTGCTGCTGCTGCCGCTGTTGCTGCTGGCCTGGTCTTGGACTGTCTTGGCGTCGGTGTTGCTGTCGCTGGTGGTGTTGGTTTCTCTTCTTGATTGGCCGTTCGATTGCAGAAAGCGCAGTTGAGAAGAAAAAACTAACTGTGGAACTGTGTCGCGGCTGCAGTGACGGTTTCTGCTTGCCCAGCACTGGCAAAGTCTTCAAAATCCGGGTTTGTAAGAAAACTGCATTGCTTGAGCCAAGCGTCTACCGTGGGAGAGAGATGGCGCGAGGAAGAGCGAGATTCAACAAGAGACCGACCCCATGTAAACTGCTTAGTTGCAGCAGCAGCAACAGCAACAGCAACAGCAAAAGCAATAGCAGCGGCAGCGACAGCCTTCGTCTAAAATTTGTTTTTTTGGGTCAGGGCAGCAGCTGATGCTGATCGCTGCTATAGTTGTGACGTTGACAACAGCAGCAGCAGTAGCAGAGGCAGCGGCAGCAGCAACAGCGACTGTTGTTACGATAGCAGTGAAACTATATTGCATTGGCGTCTGTCGGTTTCTGTAATCGCTAACCGATGCGTCGCGTCGACGACGTCAACGGCAACAACAAAGTCCTCAAAACTATTTCGCTTTCGCGCGCGTCTGTTTGTTGTTTTTAAGTTTTACAGCGCCTTATTAACAGGCGCACAGCGCCAACAGCACAACCAACTGCATGCTGTGCCTCGCTACCTCGCTTCCTCCACTCGTCGCTTCCACGTTTCGTTTACAAACTAAATATACATGTGCAATACACAACAATGCCAACAACAGCGAGCTGTATAAAAGTGCAACAACAATAACAGCGGCCAACCAGCAAGCAGTTCAATATACGCACACACACACACAAGTCAATCTCCTCGCTGTGCCGCTGTGCCGCTGTGACTCTGGTTGTGGTTGTAGCTGTATTGTGTGTGCGTGTGTGTTTTCGCTTGTAATACAAACATCAGCTGCAACAGCGACCACAACTACTGTTTCACTCACACTTGAAGCCACACTGCGAGACTGCGAGACAGCCAGACAGCGAACAAGTTGCCGATAAAAATACCAAGATTTTTGGTTTCTCAACTACACGCATACAGTCAAATAAACGCTCCCCGACTATTGACTCTCTGGCTCTCTTGCACACGCCAAACACTTGTGTAAAGTTTTACATGCATCGAGGAACAGCGATTACAGCGTCTTATCTGCCTGAGCCTTGTGTGTGCGTGCGAGAAAGAAATATTCTTTTCGCTGATGTAAGCAATAATAAACTATTGTGACCCAATGTTGGCATTAGCCTTACAATTGAGCTTTGCTAATCACACGAATCTATAACACATCATTATTACAGAGATGTAAATGTAAAACTGAGCATCTTACATACATCTGTGATAAACTTACTTAATGTAATTTTGTATATTATACAATTATTGTTAATTACTTTATTGTTAATTACTTTTTACACTTATACAGCTTCTCTGCGTATACATTAATGCTGTCAACTGA